AGCAGGCCTTAAAGATTACCTATTATACCCATAGAAAGAGGAAGAACAAGAGATTGGCGAATCCCGGTACGGCGTGGATGAGAATAGCCGGAGGATCATCCACTTTTTACTAGCTTGCTGCCCTATCGGCATACCGTATGTACCGTAGCTCTGCCCAGGTATCTCAAGTCGCAAAACAACTATTGATGCTTAAATCAGTGATCATAATTAAAGAATTATCTATGAAATCTTTGATTCTTCTATCCTGATTGATTAAACTGAAAGCTTGTAGCGACATCAATATTGGCGTGTCTTGTCTGGGTATTGCTTGACGGAACTATCGGCCGAACTTTTTTTGTTTTTCCCTTTTCTTTTCTTTTTTTATTGTTTTTATTGACTTTTTTCCCCGTTGGAAATCTTGATTAGATCCAGATAAAATATGGTTAGATATGAATATCAGACAGTCATCGTGGCATGACACGTATAGAGATACAACGGCTGATGTCTCTAGTCATTTCAGGAGGATCCTATGCAGTCCTGGACTCCTCATAACATCCTCATACTCCGTAGATAGTTCATTACTCAGTCTTATGCAGTTCGTCCTAATCGAGTGCGTGCCCTTGAAGATCGTCATCTATTTTCTTGGCGGCTTCAATACCCAGCCTAGGTTTCTCTCTAGTCTGCCAAGAATGTAGATACTCTGTATCACAGCCCACCGACGTCAGCCATGGCTTTTAGATTGCAATATTTCCTCAGGAGCCACGTGATTATGGGAATCATTCACAACCCTCCTTCGGCAAGCAGGCATGGATAATCTGAGTACTTTGTGCTACGCCTGCTTACTAAGGTAGGTATTGATTAGTTAACTATTGGGAACCATAGTACCAGGTCAGGTGACCTGCTGCTTTGGCCAGTGATGTCATGTGCTGGAAAAACCCCCCATTTTCAGCACCTTAGGATTTAGGTATCCATAGTTGTCTCTCTGTTGTGAACTCTATCTAGATCACCTGTTACTGTTCCTGACAACATCCCACTCCGTCCATCCAACTTCCACGACCACCACGACCACCACCACCATCATCATCATCATCATCATCATCATGGCGGAAGAAGAAGATCCTCTCATCAAGGCTTTGCCGCCAGCGACCGACTATCTCACCTACCTCACCCTGTTGGAGTACCAATTAACCCCCGCCCGCTTGCCCACTCTGCATAAGCTGCTACAAGATGAAACCCTAACAACAAACATTGGCTGGGATCTGGTCCAGCTTTTACTACCAATGCTACCCCAATCACTGGAATGCTTGCAAGATGTTGCTCGCCTTGGTAACCCCAGAGAAGTTATCCTGAGGGTTTCTGATGCTTTGATGCGGCTTCAACCTGATGAGGACGACTCCAACGCTCACACCCCACCAGGAGACTTTGATGCGCCAGAAACACAATCTAAATCAACTACCAACGATAATGATAGACTTGGTGAAGGAACGACAACACCTCCACGATATGTCGTACAATTCAACTCTCTTGTCGCTATGCTCTCTATATTACATTCCCGCATTCAGACCCAATCCCCGAGCCGATTTCTCGCGACATCCCTCCAGGCAGTTCTAGAAGCATACACCACAATGCCAACCAGTGAGACAACAACTGCACTTTTGGAGTTTCTTCGTGACGTGTCTCCGTCGAAAAGGCCAGCTCCACCTCCTAGATCGGCCAGCGAGTCTGGTGTGTTGCGAGTGTCAGCCGCGTCGGCCCCAGATCCCGAAGCCGAAGTTCAATTTCCATCGCCGAGGAGCAATGACGAGCAGGCTCTTGTCAAACGCTTCTTACAGTTTGGTCTGATCGAACTGCTCAAATCTTATTTACTGGGTCTGGCGGGTCCCATGGACCCAGGGATGTCCTGGGCCATCCGGTTGCATGAAAAGCTTCATCCTGAGACACGCTTACCCGGGAAGGACTCGCAAACCGATGTGTATTGCAGTAACAACTATTTGAAGGACAGAGACATGATACTGGCGAAGATAATTGTAGGTTATGACTCATTCCGCGACCATTGCACGTTCTGACCGATGTAGGCTTTGTCGAGTGACTTTGGTTTGAGCGATGATCAACTGCTCGCAATTGCCTTCGAGCCTGCTAAGAACCAGCCTGCGCCATTGGACTTTGATGAGCCCCCCAAAAATGTCGAGGACATTCCGCTGGAGAGACATGGCTCGCTGTTACTGCTCGCTGGACGGGCCGCCATGGCTGAGCTGTTCTCGTCTGGACAAGTCCCTCCCATTCCGGTCTTCCCCGATCTGGCCCGTATCTATTCCAATTTCATCGGACAAGTCAAATCTCCGGACGATGTAGCATTCGGGCAGCCGCAGCCGCTTCTAGACTCTCTCCTTACACTGACCACCCTTTCATTACGCAACAACGCGATCGGAGAACCCACAGACGACAAGGAATTTTACGATCTTCTTCTCGCAGTGACTGCTTGCACGACCCGGCAGCCGTACAGCGTCATCCGGCAGCTCCCTGAAGTCATTGTCCATAGCCATCCCTCTCAAAGCACCCGCTTCAAAGTCATCCGCAGGGTCCTGGAGGACGAGCAGCTGCTGACGGTAAAGGACCGCGCAGTCGGGTGGCTGAAGAAGGAGATTCTGGCTGCGTCAGCTCAACCCTCCAATAACGCCACAAACATCTTCCTCAACCCTCATTACGTCTCTGTTCTGTTCCCGCTGCTTTTCAACTCAGCCGATATACTTCTCAACGTATCCACCGACATCGCAGCGTCGTGGATCAGATTCTCCCAGACACTGGCCCCATCCATCCATGCCGCATTGAGCCTGTACTACATTCTGCTTCAATCTTCGACGCTCCGGACGCAGCTACAACTCGAGAAGACTTACCCCTACTTCCGAAATCGATTCCTGGAACCCCTCAAGACCCTCTGTCATGCTTTCGAGGCAGAGATGACGCAGAACGGCGGTGATGGCCGTATCGAGGCCGCTGTCGGCGAGGAGATGTCTCAGATCGGCATGGCCCGCTCCGTAGGGCTCATCTCGCATATTGTCGAACAGGTCGAGGACGCGCTGGAAAATGCGTTCGGGAGCGTGGATCTAGAGTCGTCGGAGCCGAGTGCGGACGATATCGCTCGAGTGGATGCTATTCGGAAGGAGACGGTACTATGATGATTTCGCTCGATATACCCTAGTCGTATAAACAATGAGACCAAGACCTTGTTTCAAACAAACTCTGCATGATATCATTTACGTACTTACAACTTACGACGAAACAAATCCATCAGATCTTCACATTCATTCCGAACTATCACGACCAAAGTTTGTAGAAAAACAAGTTCCAGCACTGACCAGATCTCAACCAGCTCAAGATACAACAAGCAGCTAGCCCGGAAGACAAAACAGAAGCAACCAAGAGAGTGGAACGAACAGGAAGGCAAGAGCCCAGAACTACTGCCCGGGACTCCCTCTGCCCCCTTCAGAAAAACGCAACGTCCCTCCTCCCCTCCTCATCCTCACTACCCGGCTATCCTCCAAAACAGCCACCATCCAACGAAGTCGAACGAGCCATGTCGTGTCGGATAATCGTGTGCGCGAGAGCGAAGAGAGTCAAAAAGCACGCAGACCCCGGGAGGTCACTATAGCAGAAACAACTCAAACGGAAAGACAGTAGACGCCCGCATTTGGTCGGTTGATCTTGGGCCGGCGGTGGCTAGGTTGACGGGCACTGGTCGGTATGTGCTAGAACATTGCGGGCGAAGGCCTCGTCAATGGGGCCTTTACATGACGACGCAGCCGCCACCGGGGGAGGCTAGAAACACCTGTTAGTATACTGCACGACAGATTATGGGGGAGGGGCAAAGAAAGAGGCATACACTTGACGACAACGGCGTCCTTGACGGTGTTCTGGGGAGACATTTTGATTGATCTGGGGGTTTGCGTGAAGCAAAGAATGAAGTTTTGGATGCTTGGAGATTGGAATTTGGGATTGATGTGCTTGATGGTGAGAGAGAAGAGGATGGTCTCAGGGGATCCGATGATGGCTTTATATCTTCGTCTGAGGGGTGTTGAGTCGGCCTGCGAACTCTGTTCAGGTGGTATATCTCAGCTTTGATTCGGTATGGTGAGGAGGAAGATGGGAGGAAGGAGGAGTGATGGTCTGGTGGCTGAAAGGAATGGATGCATTTTCGTGGACGTCAAGGGCGACGTGCACGTTGAGTGGGTATACCATAGTGTCGGATAAAGAAGAAAGATCGATATTCAAGATGAGAACATTAGTATTCTTCCCGACTGAGTCAATGGGGTTGCGATGGACCGTCAATGCTGTGAGTGGTGGGAGAATTCGATCGGCTTGATATTGTTCTCGGCTTGAAAGACTGCCATTGCCATTCTCGTCGCCGGTCAATGTCTGCCGACCTACAGCTATTCTTCTCCTCATATCAATGGGATATTCTGTTCTAGGAACTTGAGCTGCGTAAGAACTCATTCTTTTCGGCAGTCTCCGTTTGTGAACAATCGACCTGGAACACGATCCTTGGTCAGCGTGAACTTCGTCGTTTTGGCCTTCGCGTACAAGAGATACACGGGATGCTTGAAGACTTCGATGTATACTTGAATCTGAGTGGCTCTGGCTCATGCCTCGTCGACGGACGCGCTGCCACGGTTTCTGTAGGTCAATCGAAAGATACAAGGATATCAAGTGGCGTATCGTATGCAATGCAGATCACATTCCCAAGAAGGCAGAAACATAGTACTCTCATAAAATGAGAACTGTACCAACAATATCTAGCGATTACCTTGGATTGGTGAGTGAGATGTGGTCGTCCAATCAAAGAGCCGCTTCTTGGTATTGTTCTTCGAGGAACAATATCAAGTTATCAACCACTCAGCCTGAAGTTAGAACTTTAAAGTCTTCAACAGGAAGAAAGAGAGAAAAAAAGAAGAAAGATTAAGATCAAATTATCCAAATTACTAGATTCCTAATTCCGATTACACAAAGAAAATACCCCAACGTCCTCAAGTGTAGAGGGGCTCCGTCAAATCATTGAGAGTCAATCCCGACTTCGCAACATCTTCTTCGATCAAAAACATCAATGGCATCTCGACCAGCGTGCCTTTGACCTGACTCAGCAGCTCCTTGACCTGTCGAACGCCTTCCGGACCAGGAGGGAAGTCGTCCCGCACAACATGTCCATATTCGTACCGCGCAGGCTTGGCTTTCTCGTCCTTGTCGTGGGATTGCTTATCGGCGCTCTGGAAATAGTAGCTGTAGAACTCCCGGTATGTCGCCCAATTTCGCACGGTGTCGTCTGGAACAGCATGGAAGACCTTGCGGAAGACATCGGTGTTTGTCCTTGCGCGAGTGTTCCAGAGGCTCTGAAGGGTATCCGCGAGAGGATCTGCCACGATTTGACTCTCTGAAGCGTCAAAGTCAAAGTCATTGGGAATGCCCACAGGCTCAGAGTTGGCGTCTGGGCGTTCGTAATCCTGGGGTGGCAGGAGTCCGAGGTGCTTGCGGAACAGTTGTCGACGCAGAGAGGCGGCAAAGCGACTGGCGGTCCATGGCTTGCCATTCATGCTGGACTGAACGGGAGTGTAGTCTTCGATGATGACTGCAATCTCCGAATCGTGATCTCCGAGCTGAGAGCGATCATTCAGATTGGCAGAGCCACAGATGACGATCCGGTCGTCGGCAATCATGACCTATTCATCATTAGTCAACCAGTTCCTATCATATACGGGTTATGTCGAACCTTGGAATGAACATAAAGTTCCTCAGTAACAAATGCATCTATCTCGGCCTCACTCGGACCTTCCCAAGGCACGTTGCGAATGTCCTCACCGTGAAGCATATAACACTCGCTGACAGTATCCCACCGGCTGGATGTTGACTTGGCGGCCGACACTTGATGAGCAGCCTGCTGATATTGTTGCTGGTATGGAAGACTTGTGTCGAAAGCGCTCCGAGCTGGCCCAGGACCGTAGCCTCCCTGACCGACCGCATTCAGATCGTGTTGTCTACGAGCGTCTTCATAGTTGACACCGCTTCGTTGCTCGGCTTCCATCATGCGACTGTTGACATTGATACGGTCGTAATTGCGGAGATTATAGAACCGGATATACTCCATCGGGTTGAACCCTTCCTTGGCGATCGACTCCATGATGCTGTGGCCTCCGCGGTTGATGGAGTTGTACTGGAACTCCATAATGGCACGCGTTCCCAAAGATGCTTCGTCTTCCAAATCACCGGCAAAGCAGGGGACGGTTGGAATAACAACAATGATCTTGTATTTCTGGCCCGCCCGAGCTGCGCGCAGAATACGCTCCACAATAGCAGCACCAATCTTGTTCTTGACCGGCTTCTGAGCATCACCAGTTGCTGTGATGAAGAACTGATTTTCGATGTAGACAAAGTGCTCACTGTTGCGAATCAGAGCCGCGTAAGCATCGGCGATCGAGTGTTCAGTCGGTGTTCCATTACTCCATTTCGCGCAGCTGCGCACAATCTGACAGGACATGTTGCCTCGTGGCTGAGAGTTTTGGCGCCCAAAGGAAGTCAGACGATCCTGGTATTGATGGACTTGTCCCGCCAATTGTCCGCGAAGGACATTGCCGTATCCTGTGAGCTCGTCCTTGAGACGGCGAGGAATGAAGCCGGATCCCCGTTCGGAGTCGCCTTGGCCACGGGCTTCCTCATATGAGTCGTCAAAGCCCCTTGTCTGGGAGTGCGATCCCTCCTGAGTAGGGGGAGGGGGAAAATAATGAGCTTGACCATAACCTTGGGCTTGAGACTGAGGGGCTGGGGAATATTGACTGGGAGGCGGTCCCGGAGGGGGAGGAGGGAACGAATCCCCCGTATAAGTGGATTGGTGACCACCACTCTGCGATGGGGAGTAGCCCGCGTAGCTAGGCGGAGACTGGTAGCCTGGTGCTCCTTGTCCGCCAATGTTCGGCTGTGAGGGATAAGCCGAAAGGCCAGGAGCCTGTTGTTGCGGCGGGGGTTGGTGATGTGGCGCCGACTGCTGGGCATTGTATTGTTGACCGGAGGGAGGGCCATGCAAGACAAGTCTGGTATATCTTGCGTCCTTGCGAACCTGGTATTTCGTGTCGTAGATGAAGTTCCAACGCTCTATGAAATGCCGACGCAAATCTTCCACGACCGGCCCGTGCAAACTCACTGAGATGTCGGACCATCCCATACGGGAGGTACGTTTTCGATCCAACTGGTTCTTCTCCCAGTGCACAACATCCTGGAAGTCAAGGACTCTGGAATTGTTATAGTCCTGACCGGGGAAGACAATGTCGTCAAGGTTGGTGGGATGGACATCAGCAATAGCGTGTTGATGCGTATCCCATCGGCCAAAGCACATATCCAAGCCTCCCATGAAGGCGATTCTGCCATCAATCAAGCACAGTTTTTCATGGTGGGCCCAGTAGAGAATCACATCGTCATTCATGCCATACAGACCCTTGAGCGCATCGCCGGGCATCTTTGCAAGCGAAACCGTGTCCAAGGTCAGGTTCTGGAGAGAGGAAGTAATCGAGGATGCCAGTCCTTGACGATCGGGAAGATGATCGGGATGGCGGAACACAGCGATATTGGGATGGAGGTCTTCGAGAGCGTGTTTGGTGTGTGAGGAGGACACTGCGTGAGCTACCATCAGCATAATGCGCTCGGAACCGGAATTCCCTGTCGGTCTTGATCTGTGACTTGGTACATACGAGTCAATGCCTGAGTAACCTCCTTGTATACAATGACGTTGACCCGCACTCCACGCTGCGCAGCGGCCTGCAGCATCCGATCCAGCCGATATTGTTCGTTTTTCGCAGGTGGACGTCTCAGGTACAACTCAGGAGATAGCCACCCTGTCAAGGGAGTTAGTCGCGAAACAGAAGGTTTGCTTCTCCAAGGGATGAGCGTCACTTACAGTCCAGAATCCAGATCGACTCCCTGGCGCTCTCGAGAGCTTTTGAGACGGCATAGAAGTAAGAGCATCCGTCGACATACCACTTCGCATCGTTGGCCTGTCGTGGAGCAGCAAAGCTACCGAATCTGTGCCCCGACTGAGGCTTATTCGGACCATACTCTGCATATGCTTGTGGATCGAGAGCAGTGCCGACTCGCTGGGCGACTTCCGAGCCAATTCCGGTGACGGTGTCTTGTAGCTTTCCAAAAAGCCCTGAAAGTTTGTCCTGTTTCGCGGGTTTTGCCTGGTACTCGGGATTCTGGTACGGGTTCTGGTTCTGATTCTGGCTTCCATATGGGTAGCTTTGCGAGGATCCTTGATTTTGATAACTCTGTCCCTGAACCGACGGTCACATAATATTAGTCACTGCAAGCACGAGGGACGCAAGCTTCATAGACTTACACCATAACCTCCTGGGACATAACTCTGAGACTGGCTCTGTCCTGTCTGCTGGGGCTGGGAGTGTTGTTGCTTATAAGTGTCCTTCAGCTTTTTGAAGGTATCACCAACGAAGCTTCTCGTGCTCTCTCCCTGACCATCTTCCCGTTGGTGGTACTGGCCATATGCCAAGTTATCATCTCGTCCAGACATTGCCGCAGTCAATAGAAGGCGATCGGGTTATAGGGGCTGAGGCACAATATCGCCGGCAGCTGATTGCATATAGAATCAACAACGAACCTCGAGGGACGCGGAACAATTTATCCATATCATTGCGGGACAACCGACATAAGCTGGGGTCAGATCAGCCCAGTCCCTCATTAACACAGCCTCGCCGTCAGCTCGTTAGTTTGTTGACACGCGGCACGCCAATACGCCACTACTGCCCCGCTATCCTATTCCTGAGACAATCAGCGAAAGACAACCCACTTTCAGCTTGAAGAGAGAAGAGGATCTGGATCTCCTCACTGACAAAGCCATCATTAGGGTTGGTTATTACACAGAGCATGAAATTGTCAGCCTATTCAATAACAGACACAGTTGCATTCACGGCAAAATGACATTTCCTGGGCATACCCAGGAAATTCCGTTGTAGTACTTGGCGGGGATTTAAATTGTTGCCTACCCCTCGTATTATCCCGCAACAAGCGTTATTCCCACCATTGTGGCGCAGCATTGGAATATTGTAAATGCAAATCGCCATTAATTTGTGGCTGGAGTGCAGGGACTGTTGATGGACGATAGAGACCATAAGTTCAAGGCTGCTCAGTCTCTTTTTGTCCTGGTGGAAATGTTTTCTTCAACAAAGAGGGTTCCAGTGAAGGACCCAAACTCGACCGTACTATCCAGACGTAAAAAGACGCGGGATGCTTGATTAACACCGTCCGCTGCTTCTGGATTAGTATGTGAGACGAAATTGTGGAGGATATGCATAATTGGAGGGATTGAAGTTATCAGCTTCATTGTGACCTTGTCGACGTCGATGATATATCATGATCAATCTCTTAACTCCTCTGCAACATGGGGGAGCTGAAGATATACAATCAATGATCGGACGGTCTAATAAGCAATGAATTATCTGTGGAGATGCCGTCAGGAACAAACCTAGAGATATAGAACGGTTGATCTTGACGGTTCCAAGTGTGGTTTCTCCAAACACACCAGGGTACTGCAGCAGCGCGAGACCTTGGGAAGGGATGCACCCCGCAGGGATTTGCTGGAAACTGGTCAGGTATGGTAACGATATTACCCTATGTATACAAATAGTCAGATAAGCCAGGAGAGGCTAAGGTAATGGAGTAGTAACAGTACATTATCAGTGACAACTGTCTTATCTCTCCCCGCACGATGTGAAATCAGTTTTGGAGAACATGTCCCGCATCAGGTTATAAAAGGCCAGCGTCGCTCCACTAGTGGAAGAACAGTCCTTACCTATCTCTTCTAAACGATTGAAACTGTCGGTAAACATAGTCTCATATTCTCCCACGCGGATATCTTCTGGAATCGACCCAACTGACCACATCAATCCTCGTCATGTCGCTCGCAACACTTGACGTCAGACCACTCCCTCCAGGACCACCGGATGATCTGCTAATGAAATAACCCACAGGCCACCCAGCATCCCAACCTTCCAGCATCCGCCGAAACCCTCTTCAAAGCCAAGGCCCAGAAGAAGCTCAGCTTCGAGCAAATCGCCCAACACATCGGCCGCAATGAAGTCGCCACAGCAGCCCTCTTCTACGGCCAGGCAAAGGCTTCGCCGGAAGACATCCAGAAGCTCTCAGAGCTCCTTAATATCTCGACCCATGTTCTCGAAGAGCAGCTGAGCGGCTTCCCGGACCGTGGTCGCTCCGTTGAGATGCCGCCGAAGGAGCCCTTGATCTACCGATTGTATGAGATCGTGCAGAACTACGGGTATGCGTACAAGGCTGTTCTCAACGAGAAGTTTGGGGATGGGATCATGAGCGCTATTTCGTTTTCGACCAAGGTGGAGAAGGAGACGGATGCGGATGGGAATAATTGGGCTGTTATTACTCTTCGGGGCAAATGGTGAGTTTCGTATTCTGGGCTTGGATGAAGCTGACAATGGCAGGTTGCCTTTCTCTCGTTTCTGATGGGGGTATGTTATGACATTGAGAGTGATATTTGTCAAAGTCGAAAGTAAGACTTTAAAATCTGAGAGGTAGTATAACATATGGTAGCACATCTATAAGAATGTGTATGGTTAGGATCATGATGTACTGCATGATTGCAGTAGCGCTCAGAGTAGTATACTTGTAGTAGCTATCAATCTTGAATCATACTCATTGTAACACGCCATGCTTTGATCTATGTCGTTGATAGAGGAAATAAGGAAGTGTACCTGTAGGGCCAGTTAAGACTGTCATGTACCTGAGTAATTATTCATGTTAAGTCCGGATTTAAGCGAAAGGATCCTCAGAGAAAGGACCAGAAGTGGTACTGCCCATAAGGCTAGTAGGCCATCCTCAGGCGTTTCTAGCAAGCTCTGATAGACTCAGAAGATGGTCATGAAAAGAAGTGAATGACTTAGATCCTTGGTACGCGGCACGTCGAGCACTCTCAGTGGGATTTCTTAAAAGAGATTTCACTTTCTCTCACTTATCTTTCAAAGGACTAAAAGAAGGCTCTACCTTTACTTCTTCATCTCCCCATTTTGCCAATTCAAACTTGCTCTTCAATTGACAAGCTCCCTTGATTTTTCCAATTACTCTCCTCCATTCGCATCTTTCCTACATATTCCCACCTTCCAAGAAGGCCATCAACGATGCCTAACCCAGCTACGCCCAAGAAAGTGCTCTGCACTTTTCCCGACTGCCCTCGCCGCTTCAACACCGTCGAGGAGATGAAGAAACACAAGAGTTCCGCCCCCGAACACGAATACTGCACCCGCTGCGACGAAGACTTTGAGAACGAGGAACGACACCTAATCCACAAGATCAAAAGCAACAAGCACATCGTCTGTCCCATCTGCGGCGTCGATTTCCGAAGTGAAGGAGGCCGTGACGGGCACATTCGCCAGGTAAGCTGTCCTCGACTCACTAGTCTTTCTCACGCATATATTAACTGTGATGGATGCGTAGTACCACCGCGCCGAGCAAACCCTAAGCTGCTATGGCTGCAAGGCTCTCTTCAAGAACGCCAGCGGCCTTATGCGCCACATCGAAGATGACGAGTGTCCCGAGATCACCAAGAGACGTCTCCTCGAGGAAAGATCGAAGAAGATCATGATCAAGCAGGCTCTCGGAGGTGGCGTGGGCTCGCCCCTGCCCATCATACCCCGTCCAGGCGACTTGGACGACGTCGACGGCGGCGTCAAGGTGAATCCTCTGGAGTACGACAACCGCGAGGCGATGGCAAACCAGCCGAAGCCTGGCGGCGACGACCGCTCAGCTACATTGTCGCAGAAGCACTGGCCAGAGCTCAAGACGGCTGCCAAAGCGAGAGCAACGAATAACCCCACGCCTGCAGACCTGATGGCGTTCTCTGAGCTTGCCATCACGGACAAAGCCGCGGACGGAGATTGGAAGGGCAAGGGAAGACTCATAACAATTGCGGAATCTGAGAGAGAAAAAGACGAGAGCGAGCGTCTCTTTGGCGTGGGAGCCCCGGATGCTGGCCAGATCCTGCGCTTTCTGCAGCACAACTGGGATCCGACCAACTTTTTCGACTCGTACAGCGGGGAATACGTCTGTCCTTGCAAAGCACGCTTCAAGACCATGAAGGCGTTCGAGGAGCATATGTTGATGAAGAGTCAGGGCGCAAGAGGCATGGAGTATGTATTGGTGGCCTGGCTTTGTTGGAACGAATGCTAACAACAACTACTAAACATCTAGGTGTCCCGGATGTCATCGCATCTTCAAGACCACCGCGGCCTTGGTTGCTCACTGCGAGTCAAGTACCAAAAGATGTCATATCAACGCTAACTCCCGGTTCAGTCAGATCATTGACGAGGTGAGCGCCGGAGTCATTCAGGCGGCGGGCTATATGCCAGATGGAACAGTGAAATACGAGGCTGGAAAACTGGAGTTGACCAAGACGACCACTATTGGCGTTGACCTTGAGAAAAATAAGTGGTAGTTGGAAGACACAGGGTACCATCCTCTTACTTCCGTCCTACCTTGGCAATCGTCGAGGAGGTAGGAGACGTGCAGCCAGTATTCCAATGGTTATACCATTGATTCATACTCATTGCTGCATAGCATTCAGGCTAGCTTGATCAAGACTGCTTTTTCGCAAGATCAGCCTGTTGAAATTCAAACGAAAATTGTTCCCCAAAGCAATGGAAAATATTGAGAAAAGTTAACAATATTCAAGATTCATTCTCTATGGCCAGCAACCAGCTAGCAATGGGTATAATGAGAATCGTAGGACAAAACATCACTGCCAAAAAGACTTCAAGGCAAACAACACCAGCAGGAACCGAGCGTATATCCATAGCTCATGACCTCCATTCTATGAGCCTTAGTCCCCGAAACAGCGATAAAAATGCTTAACAGCACTCCTCACAGCATTCGAAGCAGAGGATACCGGCACACCTAATCCACATTAGCCAATTTCAACCACCATGCTTGTCTAACGGGCGCCATACACTCCACAGCAGACATCTCCGGCGCGACCACCGCGCAGCTGCATATTCATGGCCTCCTGGTTATTCTGTAGACACATTCAGTATTCTATTCCTGTTTTGCAGGGATGAATTGGTGGCTGGAAACGAACCGGTTGCTGGGTCACAACACGCTCTGTAGATGGGGCCACGGGGCTAGCGGGCTGCTGCACGGTGAGGGTGTTAGGGTCCCAGGTGGGTTGTTGCAGGGCGGGAGCAGAGTCCTTGGAGGATTTGAAGAAGTCGAAGAGGCCCATTTTGGTATTAGATATAAATTGTATCTGTAAAAGAGAGGAGAGTTGGAACGAGTGTGATAAAATGGGGATGAAGGTGCGGAGAGATCGGCGCGGGTTGAATGGGAAAGAAGACACGTACGGGAGAAGGTGGGTTTATGTACTTGCGAACCTTGATTTCCTCGGTAGAAACGCTGATAGAAGATAAAAGTACAATAGCACCGCCACTAAGTTTAATAGTCGGAATTATAGCGCTCGAATTGGAAACTCAACACTGAAACTTACGAATACAGAGGAAATCATAAGGTCGGGGTGGAGTGGACCACTCATGGCACAGAACGAATCCACGCTCTTTGGCGCTCAGCCCTGCCGACTTGCGTTGTCGGTGGAGTCTTCATATCTTTTTGATGATTCTAATGGGCGTGCCTTAAATCCACCCTTCATCAATGTCTCATCATTATTTAATAGACTTTCAAGTTGCATTTTTCAGAGCGCTATCCCGTTTAGCTGGAGACGTCAACAGAAGAAGTGCCCGACGGGCAATATGACCTCCCACGTTTATGATCCTGTATATATTGCTTCATCCTGAGATATCAGCAAATTGCTCAGTGAGAATACAGTAAGCATGAGACAAGGTTGCTGAGTGGTCTCAGACTCAGCTTTGTGAAGCACTCTCTCCGTGTCTCAGGTCCACAATCATTGTGGCTTGTTAGCACAGTTAGGCAACCTCATTTCCAATGATGCGGTGAAACCACGGGTCAAATTCTAATCTTCGGCCGTGTTTGTGGCTAAGCTTTGCGCAAGCTCCATTTGTCCACCTTAGCGGGGGCTATTCTTAGGATACTAATCGGCGCATCACCTCAGTCTCATAGGGCTGGAGGCACATTATTATGTTGCGGTCCACGTTCAACAATGACCATCTGCGTTACTCAGGATTGCAATCACCCAGGTATCAACGTCATTTCATATTTCGCTATGCAACGGGAGGACTCAACAGCGATGTTGTGGAGATAGGAGCGTTCTACTGAAGAGAGCACGGAATCACGTGACTATCCTTGAGGTTGATCGTCGTTTCGAGTGATCTCTCATCACATCGACAGTCCAGATCTTTTTCATTTTAAGTCATCATTCCTTAAATACACGTGCTTAAGGATGTTATATTTGTTTCTTTCAACCGAGACGTCTGATGACTATATAGCCTCATACAATTCCCAACCCCGTCCTGGGCTCGCGATGTGTTAACAGGTCGATCAAGTAGAACCTGACTGCCAAATGAACAATTCCGGAATTATATGCCATAGACCGAGGTACGAGGGTGATTTAAACTGTGTCTATCTTTTAACCTTGAATGTACGACCCTTGATGTAGCCAAGATTCTGTGCCTGAAGAACCAGGCAGCTCGGAAAATGCCGGCCAGGACTGCATCTCTGGCTACTTCGGCCACCGTAAATTTTGCATCATCATCAGTCTTCAGAAATCAAATAAACTGACAACATTATCAAAATTCTAATCAATTCAATTATGCCTGAACAAGCTCAGTTCCTCTGAATTCACAATCTCAATCGGAGCAACTCAAACCGCACCCCATCAAAATGACCACAAACAACCCCAAACCAGACGTGCACTCCATCCGAGAAGCAGACTACATCCGCTTCAAACACTACGCCGCCCTAACCTTCCTCGTCGCCTCGCCCGTGCTCATCGCCCTCCCCCCAAGAAAACTAGACCACCTCACAGTCCTCCTAACAGGCGCCTTCTGCGTCTCCGCAAACCACCTCACCCGCGAACGCACAGGGCGCAGTATCGTCGACCGCATCGAGGCGCGCATCGCCTCCACCCCGTCACTCGCCATACCCGATCTCCCCAGCCAGCGGGCGCAGGAAGTCCAGGCGAAACTGCGTGCGGCGCGGGAAGCGCAGATCCGCGAGGGTGGACTAGTAGGCGAGGAGCTGGAGAAGTTGAAGGCGAGGCAGGCCCAGGAGAAGGGGGTTGCGGAGCGGATTTGGATGGGTGGGGAGACGGAGGGGTGGAAGGAGCGGCGGCTGAGGGAGGAGCAGAAGGCGTTGGAGGAGGGGAAGGGGTATGGGGATTTGATCAAGGAGCATATTTGGGACGTGTGGACGTGGGGGCAGAAGGATGGGGGCAAGGAGGAGTCGAAAAAGGAATGATGTTATGCAGTGGTGGTTTTCATGGCTGAATTATATGATATGGCATGTACATATGGGTTTGGAAACTTTGGAGTTTGGCGTTGGTCAATGATAACTTCAAGCCATTCAAGGCTCCGTGAGGCACGGCCGCTTTTCGTACAGCTGGTACTTGACGTGAAACCTGTTGAATGGCGGAATTCATTTACTATGATATAACTATTGTAAAGTAGTGAGTATTCCTTTGTAGCCGGCTGGTATGTATTAGAATGTCATCTTGGTTTCCCTGACCAGGCAGGTGATAGTATGAACTACAGAGTACATCATGCTGACCTTCCGGATGAAGGAAAGAGCGACAGCACAACAGTATTACAATATTAATGCACTGAATTCCGACAGGAAAAGGCAGCAACGAGCTCCGAACATAGTGTATGGAAACTAGCCGCGTCTCAACTCCACAATATATCTTCGGATACTGCGTCTTTTGAAACCAGAACCTGAATTTGAAGCATGGGCAGTGAGCATTGGCAATTATTGATATCTACAAGTCTATCGACATCATAATCTCTCCATCTTCATCTGGCGGCGCAGTCTGCCTGAACCCAAGTTTCTGGTACAACGTATATGGCGAATCTTCAGGCTTCACATTCTTCGCCGGATTCCCACTCATCTTCCCTTCCGGTGGCGTCGACATCACCCCCAACTGCTTTGCTCGAGGGTTGTGCCGTCGTATACGTGCAATCGCGAATTCTACGCCCCGGCGACCGTACCCGAGACCCTGATACCGGCCATCAATCATGAATCGCCAAATGTAGTACGCCTCATCAGGATCCCATATTGCCATCATGAGCATGCCGACAAGCGTCTCGTCGGCGTAGATGGCTCGTACCCACGCGTCTTCGGAGTAATGGGCTTCGCAGAGAGACCAAACGTTGGGGGCGAGGTTTCCTATCTGGCCCTCTTTAGGACTCAGGTTTGCCACCGCACGCCAGTTTTCTTCGGTGATTTCGCGGAATGTGAGCGTTGAGTCCCTGCTGGGAGTGGTCATGCTGGGAGTGTCTTCCATGGTATTGATGAGGGTTTGAGTGAGGAAACAATTCGAGACTCGAGTGAGAAGAATGATCACTCCAAAGTATGAGCAAAGCACGAGTAGTGCAGCCTTAACTTCTTATATTTTGCCATAACATTGGTCTTCTCTTTGGGATTGCCTCTCAGCCCTAACATGACAAAACATGAACAGCTCTGGGAGGGGTAAGCTGCCAATCACGATTGCTTTTTAGCTACTGCAACAGAGCATGACTCAATCACAATAATTATTAGATTACTACTTGAGTGGCTAATGGCAGTATTTGACTCATCTTCGGTGATCATAAAAACTAAGAGTAATTCTTAAATGGAGGCTGAATATAATATAGGCTGAAGCCTTTTCGCTTAGGGCATGTTAACCTAAGAGTATGTTTATTTTGAGTTATATTCACTTCAGGGCCTGTTAACCTCTAGTTATGTCTGCTTTAAGTTGTGTACACTTCAGCTCTTAGTAACTTTAGGTTATATAAATAATATTAGCTTTAGTCCTGTCCACTTGAGGGCCTGCTCACTTAGAAGCCTGCTGGCCCTGTTCACAGGTTGGTGATCTCACCTATTAATTACTATTCTACTGCTTACTTTTAGATATAGACACCATGTTAGAGGGTGCTAATAGTCCACTTATACTATGCTACAGTCTTATAGTATTAATCATTAGCTATAGATTGCTGCGTAATAAAGATATCTGATAGAAAGGATCATCTCCTGATACCTCTGCTTTCCTCATAGTCGTATCTTGTAGTACGCATAATATGTCATCGGTTTATTGCAAGGTATTCTCATGCTTTTCCTCTTCGCCTTCTATAGGCACAGCTTTGATTTGAAAGGGCTGCGGCTCTCGGAATAAGTGGGCGCCCAGTCGGGTTTGATGGGTGTCTCGGGCGTACTCGTTCGACCCGTGCCTGGAGAAGACAGGAGTTTATATAATTTCGATCTTTTGAGACGGATTGAATGTCATCACAGGTAAATCCTGTAAACGTACTTTGCCGGATGACGTGGGATGTAGATGACTTCGTACGGTAAATCCGAGTTGTAGTTGAGGATATCTTCGACGACGTCGGAGAGGTTAGGGCTGCCTGGAGCACCCTTTATTTCCCGTGGTGCCAGTTTGTTAGCTGCCATTCTTAACAAGATTAGGTGGGAATGTAGTAGATATGATGGTTTTTGAGAAATGATGGGGTAGGATGTCTATTATGTTATGCTAAGGAGGGGTAGTGAAGTCTTAATTGTGGCACAGGCATGATGCAGCTTGGCTGTGATGAGATGCATACTTCCCCCCTAATCACCACTTTTTATATAAATATAAGCCTGTTTATATATATTTATGATTTTGTACTTTCTGTTATATTTCTGGACCACCTTACTAGGAAAATCCTCTATCAGCTGCTCCACGACAATCAAGCCTTCTAATTGTATTTGGTGTGCAACCACCTGGCTGCCCACCAGTAGCCTAAAAGTTTAGGCAGTCACTATATCTAGGCACTCTAGGAGGAGCCTAGCTTAGTAGCTTGAACCCTTCACTAGAGGTACGGTCAACTGGTAAATACCAGCATGAGATCATCGAAAAAAATTATTAAAAAAGGTGCTTGTTGTGTTGTTTATTTTGGGGGGCTGAAAGTGGCTCGTGTACGGTCACAATGGAATTTCTTGACCGGAAAGATGCAAGTGATGAAGCTGGGAATGGAGAAGTGGATGAGGGTATAGAGAGAGATGAGAGACTGCAAGATATTAGGTGACTATCTTACGTGAACAGTCGCCTAGAAAAGGATGGTCTCAGAGAAGCGGACAGAGGCACCTTCGATGGATGAGTCCAATCTCTAGGAGTAGCAAGCGCGCTCACAGTCATCTCACTTGAGCAATGTGGCATTAACTTGCTAATATCAAGTGAGCTAAGGATCAGATCAAGGAATGGGCAAGATAGAAATTATGTATCCCGTAAAAAGCACAGGACAGCTACTAAGACCCCGAGGACGGTCTACATCCAACATCTACAGTCTACAGTCCCCTTAAAAGTAAGAAGAGAGGAATAGTTGAAAGGAAACTCGAGCATTCCATTCAAAACTAAAAAAGAAAAAAAAAAAAAAAGAAGAAAGTTCAAAATCAACAGATACAACAAAATCCCCCCATTTGGGCAGTGGATCAAGGAAAACATCCTCGTCACTTTTGTCTGTGAACGAGGTAAAAACCTTGAACGGGATACATCAAGATAACAAGAAACCCATATCACAAATCTGTCCTCCAGCTGTCTTTTTTTTTGTTTGATCAGCTTTTACCAGTGTTTTTCAAAGTTTCAAGACTCTCTTTCTCTTTCGTCCCCAGATAAAAAGATGCCCTCCCACTGCTGTGGTGAGAACTGTCAACTCTCATAGGAGCTAGTCCCTGTAGGCTAGTCCTGTCTCTCATCCCCTGATATAAAACTGTTCCCCCACTTCATGTGGAAAGAACATTGATAAGGCGGATTTGACCACTTGGATCAATCCTCTCTCCTCAAACAAAAAAGTGTCTCCCACTTCATGTGGATGAGACTACATCTTCCCCAAGAATCCCCTGATGGGATGTTTCAAAATGTCTCTTGATTGAGACTCAAAGTTTCCTCCGCTGGGATTTCCCTATCCCGTGGCCGGCGCCGGCCAATTTCCTTGTTCAATTTGTTCTTTGACTGATTGTTCAGTCGGTAACTGGAGGTCGAAGAGGTCCGATCGAATGTTCAGTCGCTGCATCGGAGCAGTCGATAAGGCGATGGTAGATTGAATTGAACGCAAAGGCTTGTCATGAGGTCGTTGTAGTTGTTGACGTTGTAAATTTGGAAATGGAATTGGCTTGTCGCCGCAGAATTGATTGTATCGACTCGACTGAAAGTTTCGGTTGTTGGTTTGTGGATCGGTTGGATTGTTTCGACGATTTGAACGATTAACCACCATGCTGACGCTGCTAGCCCAAAGTGACATTCGAGAAGAGAGAGAGAGTCGAAGTCGCGAACGAAGGCGACCCGGCCGACACCTATTGGGGCCCTCAATAGGGCGGCCAGCAGTCGCAAGAGCATCGTTCAAAAGGTGTGTGCAGGTGAAACCTTTTCGTTGTTCTTTGTTTTTGTGATTTTGATGTTTTGGGTCTTCTTGTAGGTTTCGTTTTTCCCGGTCAGAACAGTTATGCGTTTTTTGTTGTTGTTCTCCCGTCAGGCATCACAAGCAGTCAAGCAATGGTGGGTGGGACGTGGCATTGCCAATGCCACCGTCCCGAGGTATGTCAGGTTCGCGGGGGGTTTGGCGTGCCAGTGCTCAGAATGGACAATTTGCTGGGCTATCCTGGCGCCCCCCGGAAGTAAAAAAAAAGACAATTTAGAAGTAGAAGGGGGCACCAACCACCTGGAGGCCGGTGGTGGTGCTCCCCTGAGCCTCGTCGTTCACAGCAAGGTTCAACATGGCTGTGGCCTGAGAAATAGTCAGCAACTGCTGTCAAGTAAAGTACGGAGGAAATTGAACTCACAATCCAGTTCATTGCCAAAGCCCCCCGAGCGAGATGCTCGGCCCTCTATAAAAAGGTGAGTATGCCGATCATAAACCTCGATTTGGTGCTAGGACAGAAACTTACCGTTTCGGGGAGGGGAGGGGCGTCTGTCATGACCACGTCTCTATCTTCTTCAGCCGGGGCCGTGATGGGTGCAACAAATGCGTCCCTCATCACAACGTCACCATCCCGGGTGCGTGTGAAAGCAGCACGAAGCTGCTGTGCACGACGCTGGTTGTTGTTGTTGTTGTTGTTGTTGCCCGGGTGTCTAGGCGCCTATTGTTTTGTCAGCGTGATAGTCATAAGAAGTCGAACAGCAAACAACGTACCGCATTTTGCCGAGGCTGTCTGTTGTTGGGCGAATTGCCCTGCCGTCTGGGATTGTTCCCACGCTTGTGAGTGTTCGCCCCATTCGGATTAGGAGTATTAGGAGAACGACGAGGCTGCTGGTTGGGTCTCTGACCGCCAGCGTTTCCTCCTCGCCGTCTGTTCCCACGAGGGGACTAGAGGAAGTCAGCTTTGTGCCTCAAATGACAGGGCAAAAAAGGAAGTGATAGTTACATTTTGGTTGCGATTCACGCGACCCTAGAAGCCAGTTAGCAACGAGTACATATCACACCAGAGAGACAAACACGTACATGTCCATTGCGGTTGGTGTTACCGCCAAATTGTCCAGTTCCGTTCGGTTGGTGGCCATTGGAAGCAGAAGCTTGAAGAAACCGGGCCATGTCCCCGCCGAAAGTATTAAATCCGTTGGTGTAGGAAGCCATTGGGTTTTTGGTCTTCCACGGAAAAAAGAGTTATAAAAGGAGAACAGTTTCAAGAGAGTGAAGGTGACGCGGAATTTTTTTGGCGTATACCACTGCTACCGGCTCTGGTCGGTTGTGCCTACTCTCCAGAACGGATCCCTTTATTTCCTTCGCGAGTGAAAAAAGGTTAAAAAAAAAGTTGCGAAACGATTTAAAAGCAGATTTGTTTTGGCTCTTTTTTTTTTGGAGTCCAAAAGTTTGAAAATTCAAAAACGATTTGAAAAGCAACGCTCCGATTTCAGCCCCTATTGAGAGACAACGTATAGCCAGTGGGTGCGTGAGGTGAAGGTCTGCGGTGTGGAAATGTAATAAAGAGCTCTTGTGGTGTTCTTTGGTTTCTTCGAGTTGGAATCTGGAATAGTCACTTGATACCTGATGGTAGCAAGTAACTGAGCACACAGTTTGGGACTGAAGAAGAAAAGAAATCAGAGAGAGTCGCGGGGCAAATCGACGGGCCTCTTATAGACGAGGGGACCTCGAAGAGAAGATGTAATACCTCGTCGAGACCGTGGTTCTCTCTAGCAGTAAATGCGTCAGAAAGACGGTTGACATGAAGGCAGCCATGCCTGCCAGAGATGAGAGCGCTCGAGATCATTCTTTTCCTCAGGTTTCGTGGGCGAGAAGGTGTGTTGTCACCTTGATTCTCCCGAGATTGTATGGGGTACCACATTTCCTGTTCCTGAAATTTCCGGGGAAATAAGCTTATCAGCGACGGATCTACCTAAAAATAGCATGTCAACTTGCATTTCCGCAGGGAATGCTCCAATCATATTCGAGGATTCACACTCACACGCTTGGAGAATTTTTCCTCAGGGCTCTCGTTCCACTATTCTACATCTTTAATGATTGGTTGAAGCTTGAGGATTATATTCTGTACATCATACTTAGATAATGTCTTTCCTTCAAAAGGAAGGAAAACAACATACCATCTGTGGGCCATCCAATTGAACTCGTGGAATCAACTCGAAGAGTTTACCTCTGTTTTTCCGTTCCTGACTTTGATGGTTTTTCTGCGCGCCGATCTCATCGGGGAGACAGAGCATAGAAGATCCGCATCGTCCAATAGAGCCCATAGAAACGAGTCGAGTTGAGCGAGCTTTTACCAATCTGCTTGTTCCTGACTATGTTTTCGTCTTCTTTACACTGTTCAAGGCAGCGAGAGAAAAGAAGAACAAGAAGGAAGAGGCGAGCATACCAGATCTATACCGTCCAATAGAACTCCTAGGAACATGCTCAACAAGCTTTTCTCCGTCTTTTCGTTCCATTCTTTGAGAAAAGGTCTCTGGCTTAAAATAGAACGAAAAGACAAAAGACCAAGTCGGGATTGTCCAATCGAACTCGCAGACCAGCTCAGGAAGCTTTTCGCTGTCTTTTTCTCACTTCTGACGTCGATGTCTTTTCGTCCAAAATCTCCGGGTCGCGCTTTCTCCCTCCAAATTTGCCACCTGATGTCTGCGAGGGAGAATTGGGGGTCGCAGCGCTCCCCTCCTCTCCTGCACCACTAGTTTTGACCTTCTTCTTCCTAGGCCTCGCGACACCGCCAGGCGACGAGGCAGAAGCCCTCCCGTTCGACGCAAGACTATCCCGTTTCCTCTTCTCGGGCTTAGCATCTCTCTTCTTGCGTCGCTCCTCCTTGATTTTCAATCGCCGCTGGACTTCCTCTGAAATATCCTCCGTCTCTAATGCCACAGGCATCACATCTGCGACTTCCTGCTCGGCGCCGGGAATAGCTAGATCCAGCCGCTTGCGCTTCGAAGACCGAGAAATTGCCGCGTACGCCCGGCCCTCCTGCGCCTGCATCAGCTGGACCTCTGCCTGCATGACGTCGACATCCTCATCCACGTCCTCGTCCGCTATCGCCCGCTTGTGCTTTTTCCCTCCTCTTTCTCTTTCTTTTGAGCCATTACTTCGCGACGAGTCGCTGATGCTGTGACCATTACCACTGCCCACTGCCTCAGGCACACCTGCAGAGGAATTTTTCGCTTCGTCCTCGTCAATTCCCTTCTGTCTCCCTAGATTTCGGTCGAAATCGGGACCAAACTTACTATTCATCTGAATGACCCATCAGAATTAAAGAGAAATTATCATACAACGGGCTAAGAATGACTCACGAGCTGTTTCTTGATTATCCTGAATTGCATCACTAACTTATTCGTCTTTTCGGCCATCGAGGAAATCAGTCGGAAGGACTCCCCATCGCCCGCGACTTGGCTCTTCACACCATTCAGCATCTCCAGATGAGACAACAGGACGGACTCATGCCGATTGCAAATCTTTGTTTTCCAGTTGCGTCAGTAATTGGCCCGTTACGGTGTATTATCTATCCGGCTAGCATGCAGTCATCCACCCACCTCCGACCATGAGAATAGCTTGCGCTGCGCATCAAAATGTTTTGCTTGAGGACTGCCATTTGTTTCATCGTTAACATCTTCAACAAATGGATTTAACGGGTGCTGGGGATTGCTTGATGGCATTATGCGTAGTCCTTCAATTTTGACCCTGCGTTGAATTAAAGCCCGCAAATCCTTCGATGATCGACGGAGCTGTCAATATAACAACCAGGGTCCCGCGCCAAGACTCCGCTACTGTCCGCCACTCACATTAGCGCTCATTTAGTGTCAAATGTGGAGTCGTCTGGCGAACTATTTTTGCATGCAGACTTTCAGAGTATCTATTGTCTACCTACACTTCTTATCACTGCTCCATTGATCTTTAACTCACCAATGTATATGGATCATAGAACTCATATATAGTTTCCATTTTCAAGCTCCCGACATGTGTGCTGTACTATAGTGATATCCTGACATCCTCCTGACCGCGTGAATCTTACATAACCGGATGCAAGTCTCATGTTCGCCAATACGCCATTTCAAAACATCAATCATGCTCGGACGCAGCCCAATAGTCATACAGACGGTCATTCTCAGCATCCAAATCCCAGCCAACTACCATGCGCCAGGGTCAAAATCGAACCGAGAAAGTTCTTTCTCCGCATCTTCGACATCCTTCTTTGCCTTCATTCGCATGTAGAAGATCGGACAGTCTCGAGAGGAGCAAATTACCTCGCAGTGCAAGCTACCCTGACAACGTTGGCATTGAGTCCAGAGCCGTCCGAATCGGACCTCGAGGTCCGATACTTTGGTCAATGTCTTTGTGTAAAGCTCGCCAATTCTAGGGCGGCAAAGTGCGCAAACAGCGCCAGCCATTTCTTCTTTCCCTGAAAGAGGCTTCTTGCAACCCATACAGGTTTGGGTTTTCTTCGCAAACTTCATCAGACCTCCCAAGGTAGGCGCCGCGACCGAAATGGACCGAGTGTGTTCACCAGTCAAGAGTTGATTGGCCTTCTTCTCACCAAGAATGGGTTCGAAAATACGACCCAGAGGGTTCGCCAGTTGGTTGTCAAGGTAATATTTTGTGTCGATCGGAATGTTGTTCTCCAGAACGTATATAGGATCTTCAGACTTCTCGTAATTCTTCGAGCCTCCAGCGCCCTTGACAATGACATATGCCACACGATCACCGAGAGTTGGCGCAGAGCCTGCGTCACGCTTTCGCATCCGCTCCGCAAGCTCAACGTGTGCCTGCTTGGCTGTGTAGTCTGCTTTGGAGAGCGCTTTGGTAATCACAAGCTTTGACATATCAATCTTGTTCTGCAGAAGATCTGAGATGGTTTCCTTGACGTAACTGCGAAGCAAGTCAGCGAAGAGCACAACATTACTGGGCAAGCCACCACTTACTCCTGAGCGCCATCGATGTCTCTGTCAATCAAAATCTTGTGCAGCACCGTCTCGATGACATTCTGAACCAACAGGCAGTTATCTCTACGGACGGTTTCAATACCCTTTGTATCCATCTTATCGAACTTGTTTGGGTTGGTCCAGTACAGCCCGGCGTATCTCTTCTTATTGATTAGAAGATAGGGGAAGTAAACCTTCTCAAACTCGAGTTTAATGGGTTTGAGAAACTTGGAAGAGACATAATCTGCTGCCTCCTGTCCGAGTTTCATGGCCTCTTCCAGTTCAGTCACGCCAAATTTGACCATCACCGAGTCGGTATCACCGTAAATGACCTTTGCATCATGGGAGTAACCATTAGCGATAGTGTATCTGGCTTCTACCTCCTGCTTGGTCTTTTCAATCATTTGACGTCCGTAACTGGTGGTACTACTCGCAATAGCAAGACAGGGCAACTTTCCGACTGTGGCACCAGTGAGACCGTACACACTGTTGGCGCTGATCTTCAGAGCAAGCTGTCTTCCGTTCAACACTGCTTTCTTGAAGGGGTCCGTTTCAACGGCCAGCTCTTTTTTCGCCCGTTTCCGAGCAGCGAGCAATTCTTCCAGAATTTGCGATAGGAGACCTTTGCGCACTTTTGTTGTGCAGAACATGTCGCCGTTCGGAGTCACAATGTAGTCTTCATCTTTCTTCAGCTTCAGTTTCTCAACGCTGTTCTTGTTTAGTAGAGTCGTGTAGCATAGGTTATGTGCTTGGATGATCGAGGGATATAGAGATGCGAAATCGAGAGTCGCAATCGGAACACCGTAGTACCCGCGACTTGGTTCAATAACGGTAGCACCTTCGTAGTCTTGTTCGTCTGTCGACTTCATATTCGGGATGACAAGCTGTTGCTCAAGGGCTTTGCGAAACAGTTGACTCAGGAACTTGACTTGCTGGCCGCGAGAGAGGAGAAAGTTGAATGGTACACCCGTGACTCTCGCCATCTCAGTGTAATTAACCAAGCACATCAGTTTGTCCATCAGTCGTTGTGGCAAGTACGCATCCTTCAAACAATACACGGCTAATCGCCGCCTCGAATCAGGGGTTCCATTGAACAATTCCGTGATCATCGTATGGTGGACATCCTCTTTCTGTTCCTTAAGGAACTCGTAAGAAACAGAGTTCAGAGTGTAACTTCGCAGTTGATAGTCTCTTTGGACCAACTGGAGAAGGTCGAGCTGAATCCTTCCGTTGGTGTTTGTTGCCTTCGTGTCTCGATTACCCATCTGCTTGCTGGAAAAGTTTGTCGACGTTGCCTGCGACGCCATGCCCTTGAGACGGGTCCAATATGGGAATCCAGTACATTTGAGATGCTTTGCCCGGTCCAAGAGATATGGAAAATCGAAGTTGGCGATGTTATATCCGATGATCACATCGGGATCGACCTTCTCAAGGAAGTCGCGCCAAGCCATCAGCATTTTCTCCTCTTTGTCGAATTCCAAAATCTGCGTGTTCACAATCAAACTACACGTATCCAGAACGAAAACATTCCGAATGAATGGTTTCGATTCTCCGTAGCGGGTGACAACGTTTGCTATCTGAATGACAGGGTCATGATTCGGCTCTGGAAAGATGCCTTTGCGTCCGGCGCACTCGATATCGAAGGACAGGATGCGAAGAGGCGCCATTTTAGCCCATTCACCATTGGGCGGGTGAGAGATCAGGTCACGATAATCGATTACGGCTTCAATCTGACAGTTTGACAATTTCTCCCGAGGGCTGAGCAGGCGGTATTTCCCCGCCTTTGCCTCAACCCATGACATACCAGCAATGTCCGTGTCAATCATGAACCTCAGAAGATACTGGATATTGTCGAAGGTGAGAATACCGGCATCAGCGTTACTCCACAAGCCTTTGTAATTCAAGCCTTGCGGATTGTTCTCCAGCGCACTTCGGACCTTACTGATGAACTTCGGTTCCGTGACTGTAATCTTCAGATAATAACTCTTCTGGTTTCCTTGAAATCCATAGATGTTCTCTCTCATTGTTATTTGAACCGACTGAATGACTGGCTGAAACTGTCCTAGTTTGCTCTCGAGAAAGGCACGATAGGGATCGCAATCTTCCTTGGTGAAGTTCACCGGCGCTGCGATATAGAGGTAGTGCTGAAATCCGGTGACGTGCAGCAAAACTGATTGCCCGGCCTGCGTCAAAACCATTAGCAAATCAAGCAGAGTAGCTCTAAGGGAACAAATCTACCTCCGTAACACCGAAAAGTCTGACAGCTGTCTTTCCGCCGGTAATTGTTCCCTCTTCTGCATCAATCTGCTGGAAGCAGATATTATCTCTGGTCTCGTCGAAGTCACTCAAAGGTGGCCGCTCCCATTGCTGGTCCTTTTCCGAGTTGCTGTCTTTCAGACCGTTGATGTCCTGGGTCAACTTTTCCAGAACTTCCTCTTCGAATTGGCTCTTCTGGGGCTGACTTGAGCCGAAAGATTTCCGCAGGCCATTCTGCGATAATGATTTAACTGTGGCGGAGGGTTGTGCATCGAGCTTTCGTTTCTTTACTGTGCCGGGGGTGTTCAGTACGCTGCGAGGATTATTCGTTGCATCACCCAGAACCCGCTTCTGGGGCATCGCGACGGCTTCAGGCATAATAACGGATCATAGACAAAGTCTCGTAATTCTGCTGATGGGGAGAAGGACCGTCAAGACGGGGGAGAAACAGAGGTCGAAATGTTTTAGAGAGTCACATACGGAGCAGATGGAGATGTTATCAGCAGGCAATGCGCTCCGATTCGGGAAGTCGTGTCTTGGTCGCGCCTCGAACGTGACGCTCTTTACGCGTGTGTTGAATCACGTGATCTGACGTCGCGCCTCCTCCTTCCTTCACACAAACCGACATGACTTTCATTTGCTTGCATTGCTAGAAACAAAGTAAAAGAAGTCGGGCTTTATCAAAGATGATCTCCAAACAACACAACTATGGAATATTATTGGTTTTCCTGGACATTATCGTGAAGAACCGGTTCAGCTTGCCTGCTTAAATGTCAGGTCGGATAGCCAATTTGGTTCTCTGATTGCATATAGCATATCTAGGGAATCTAGGTACATCGTGATCTATGAAAGTTCGACGATTTGAATTCAACATGCAGCCTCTGTCGCGAAATACTCTTTACCACGATCACTTGGTCTCATGAGTCGTATAGATGTGGTTGTACGCTGCCAGCGACTCCTGCTTCAAAGCTTCCATCTCCTTACCCTGGAACCGGTTCGGGTCCAGCGCTTTCTTCAGCGACTCGTCAACTTCTTCCCCCTGAATCATCTTGGTCAAGAATTTAGCTGACCCAGCCGCATGAGTGACCCACACTGCAGCCGCCACATAAAGACCTTTAATTGACGAGATCGTGCCGACCAAAGGCAGATTGTCCGGAGTCATGGAGAAAAGACCATTGAATTTCTCCTTGGTGGTCAAATTCGTCTCGGCAGGGATCAAACTGCGGGCCCGCTCCAGTGATGCGTCGAATGCATCGACCCAGTCGCCAACCGCCGTCTCATTGGGCTTGTGGTAGAGCGGCTTGTGATCATAAGAACCAAGTCCATAGGCCGTGCCATGATCACGGGCATACACATAGAATTCAGGCCATCGAACAAACGGTGACTTGCGCGGTTTTGGCTCGCGCTGTTCGCCATACATGTATGGATGCGCAACAGGAATAACCGGAATCGGCACACCAAAGTTACAAAGATTCTCTGACCAGATACCAGTGGCGATAACCACCTTTTCTGCTTTGACCAGTCCAGATGTAGTCAGGACACCGTTTGCACAGCCATTTTCCTGAATAATCTCCTTGACATCTGTTTCCAGGAAATGAACGCTGTTTTCGCGCGCCTGGTCTTGAAAAAATGAAGTGATCCTCGCACAATTTGCGGCCCCGTCGCTTGCGAAGTGCAACGCAGTCAAGATATCGCTCTTGACAAGATCAGGAGCCAGTTTAGTTGCCTGCTCAGGAGACAGCAGTTCGGCAGGCAGGCCAACCTTCTTCGCCATGTCGTATCTGACCTTCAATTTTTGGACGCCTTCGGGAGTGGTAGCGACTTCAAGCCCTCCAATGTTCTCGAAGGCACCAGGAATCTTCCTGTATTCACTGACAGTGTCCATTGCTAGGCGTGTAAGAGCCTCCGATTCGTTGTATTGACCAATGAATCCAGGCGCACACCCAGTTGAACCTTTCAACTGAGAGAAGGAACGATCAATGAGGACAACTTCTTTCCCATTCTCCAATGATTCTGATAGAAAGTAAGCCAGGGCTGACCCAACGATACCACCGCCGGCAATAGCTATTTTGAATGATGCGTCCGAGGAATCCATCCTTGCTCAGGGTATCTTCAAGACCTAAGGGATAAATGAAACTTTCTGTGACATCTAGTCCACGGGCTCTCTACGGGGAGTCTGCCTCATTTATGTTCATTCATGGTGCGGTTCGACGAAGTAGCGTCATGAATACGAGCTGTACATAGAACGGCTTCGATGCCAACAACGGAGAGTACCCACAAATATGCGTGTTTCCGACGACAGTAGCGAGAGTCAGTCGAGTATGAGTAGATACTGATAGCCGCTTCGATAAGTCGACTTGATAAAATGTGCCATCAGGAATGGCCTGATTATACACTCCGTAGTCTGTTTTGGATCAGAGGCATTGTGAATGGCATTGAGGTGGCCTGACGGCCTGAGGCAGAAAGTGCGTCATCCTATTTGACTTGAAAGTCCGAAGTTCGGCCAAGAATGAGAACGCGTCTTTTTCGATGTCGACGGCTCGAATTTCTGTGAAGCGATGCATACTTTTTAGCGAGTTAATGTCATCCAATGCTAGATCGATACATCAGATGCCTAGAGGAAGGTTTGACTCCCTAATGTCGTATTCACACGCCCTTTCTCCGACAACCCGCCCTTTCTCTGACATCTGGCTTTAGAATCTGATGGAAGCCTGTGAGAATTGACAGCCTGGTCAAAAGTCATCCCGAAAGAGGAGAAGATTTACCACATAATTTACAAAGTGAAACCGGGACCATAGCTTCGGAAAAGCCCATTGAATGACCTGAAACTGAACTTTCTCACTCCGTCGACCAATTGGTGCTGGGTAAACATTCCTAGCAAGTCTATTACAGCGAGTCATTAATCATACACGATATACATTCGTGCCTACACTCACAATCCAGTTCTCTGCTACATTGCTACGCTCTCTATTGGCTCGCTGCTACATGGGGCAGGCCATCTGTGCTGGCATGGCTCCCTTGTGGCTGTGAAATCACCCCCTCGACATTGCGGCTCATTGTGTCCCTCAAAATGTCTATGTTCAGGCCAGCTTCGGAAATCTCGTCCTCCTCGGAGTCTCAATCCAGCTCCGATGAAAGCGACCATGGATTGCATTCAACGACCACCTCCAGGAAGCCCCGGGTTAAGTCTCATTCCGGGAACGGTGCAGAGACCGCATCCCTCGATAGGGAGCCTGGCACTGAAAGCATCTCCGAAGCATCAATGGATGTCCTTGATGTTGAAGCTCAAGGTCATACAGCGTGGGTGACCTCCGCCTTGCTCGAGTTCTACTGCCTCAGCAAAGCAACAGACATCCTCAATGCCAGGGAAGGCTCTCAGATGCGATACACTCGCGACTCTCCAGAAGTACAGCATCTGGCCAAAAAGATGTATTCCCATCAATCACAGCTGCTATCGACACATGGAATGTTACCTGGAGGCATTGAGAGTGATGAATGGGGAGAAAGAAGACAGAAGTATCGCGAAACGCTTGATGGAATTGGCCTGCAGGCCCTCAAAGGGCTAAACTTAGACGGTATCCCTAAGCAGATGCCGTCTCTTGGCACAACAAAAGACGTCGTTTTGGCTTCTAAAGCCTCAAACCGGATGCAAGTTCATGTAGAGACGGATTTTGCAAGACCTTCGCAGATGAGGCGTCAATACAGCGGACTGTTGGGGTTCAGAGAGCAAGGTGCCGCAAGAGACGACACGCACGCGCCGGACCATCAGCCGTTTGCCCTCTTGGGTAGTTCGCCTGTGGGCTTCCCGCTATTCAGGCCGAATCCGCCACCACCGACTCCAGCTATATCTCGTTATGCGACGGAATTTTCAGAAGTGAGAGTCCTCGGCCGTGGATCATTCGGCGAAGTCTATCATGTGAAAAATCATATTGACGGGCAGAACTACGCGATTAAGAAGATTCCACTCAGTCAGAGGCGGCTTCAGCAGTTGCAAGGCGGCAATCAAAACCAACTTGAAAGTATCATGAAAGAGATACGAACGCTTGCTCGACTCGAGCATACGAATGTTGTCCGATACTATGGTGCATGGGTGGAACAGGCTCATATGTCTGACCTTCTTCACTCAAGGAATATGGGTGCAACGGAGTTCCAGCACGAGGAGAGCCACAGCGTGTGTCTGAGTCAAGAATCGACCGGCGAGCAAAGTTTTGGAGTGGTATTTGAACATTCGGAAGTTTCTGCAGTTGAGGGTCGCTCAATTTCTACGTCTGCTGAATCCGAAGCCGATGCTCCTCATCGTTCGCGACGTCGCTACAGTCATGCTACGTCGTCGTCGCGCCCCTCAAAGAATAGCCTGGCACGGAGTCTCGAAGACGATGAAGAGGTCGAGTCGATCCCTCGCGATTTCAATTTTGCGTCTCATGGTCAGCTGTCGACTTTTGGAGGCACCGATGATGATATCTTCACCGACGGGCTCAGTTACGATGCGTCCAAGCTGCAGCTCCAACGAAGGCGTCAAAATGGGTCTCAGCTTCCTGCTGTGATTCTCCACATTCAAATGTCTCTGCATCCTATTTCCCTGAACGCTTATCTTAGTCCTCACTCTTTGGGTCTCGCAGAACATAACCATACACCCACACGGCGTCACTGCTTCCATTTGATACCCTCGCTGAGGTTAATGCTACGTATAATCTCCGGTGTCGAATATCTCCATGCCAAAGGCATAATCCATCGTGATCTGAAACCGGCAAATATCTTCCTCTCACCGTCTGATAATGGCAAACTCGATGGGTGTCCTCCCTGCATGGCGAATTACGGGTCTACACCTGATTACTGTCACCCCAGAATAGGAGACTTTGGTCTTGTCGCAGATGTATCGCATCTGAACGACTGTCCTACCCCCTCCTTTGAGGAGGGTCCAAAGCTCGGGCGTGTCGTTGGAACGGAGTTCTATCGCCCACCCTTGAGTCCTAATGGAGAGAAGCACTCTAACGGCATGTTCCGAACCGGAAATCATCAGTTCAGTTACATTGTGGACGAAACGCTTGATGTTTACGCTCTTGGAGTTATACTTTTTGAGCTTCTTTATCGTCTGAACACTAAGATGGAACGCCAAATGGTTCTGACCGACCTGACAAAAGGCACAAATCGTCAGTCACCGGCCAGAACTTGCATTAGAAACACTGTATTCCCAGCAGACTTTGCACAGAAACTGGACATGGGATCAGTCATGCTAGAGGATGGTGTGTCTGTGGCCGACTCGTTGATGAGGTGTATCAGCGGCATGTTAGAGCCCAATCCTCATCGACGCTTGCGCTGTGCGGATATTAAGAGAGCTCTAGAAAATATTCTGGATGCTGCTGTCGTGCAAGATCTTT